TGATAGGAGAATAGCTGCAAAACGCACTAACCAGATAGCGCAGGAAGAAGCGCATTGGAGTATAATGACCTACTCCCGGTCACAGCCCAAAGATCATCAGCGAAGGGACCTCAGGAACACCTTTGCATCAATCATGCCGTCTCCTACCACCAGGGGGAGTACGTCTCCTTACAGTTACACGAATTTGCCTTATATCGTCTTTCGCCAAGGGTGGTGTGCTTTCGTATCAGGAGATCACCTTAGGGACTCAGCAATAAGGCCCAAAAGAGAGAAATCTTGATAGTGTAGTAATTTTTATTCAAAAGGTTGCTAAAGAACAAGTAGCACACTTACATAATGATATCCAGAAAAGCTGATTCACAGAATCCAAAAAGATGGCCGACAGTCAGATGCATGGACCATGTGGGTAACAAGTAGTATGAGAGGTATCCTTATCTCTAACGCGTTTCGTGGCAAGAGCACATTATCAAAAGTCACGAATTTGATTGATACACGGATGTACTTCTAATGACTCTAACATCCATATCACTATATGCACTTTGTTTTGGTCGGATGAATCATTAATACTTACCCGTCCATTGTTTGCATTAATTTGTGCGTTTAAGTTGGTGCATGTTATACCTTTAATGTATTTCTTTTAATCCGGATGTGCATACGCTAATTTCTTCTTACTACATGCTCAAGCGCTGCATTTTTGGTGTTTTTATTTATTATATATATATAATATATATATATATATATATATATAATGCATGTTGAAATGCGTTTTTATTACAAAATATATGAAAAATATTTTTAAAAATACATTTCAAATATACTGTATCACTTTAAAAATATAAATCTACATTTTTGGAATGCATTTTCAAATATATGTGAAGATATATGTTAAAATGACTTTTTTTATATGTTAAAAAAACTGAAGAATTTATTTGAAAATAAAATATATTTTTTAAAAATATATATATTTTTAAATATATTCTTCAGAGATTTTTTTTTTTTTCCATGTGGGTAGCATAGCAATACAAGGCAGCGTGCTTACACAGTAAAACACAGCACACAGTAAAACACACATAGCAAAACACACACAGCACACAGTTCAACAGCACACAGTTAACCCTTTGATCGCCATAGATGTTAACCACTTCCTATTCAGCTTCATTAGTACAGTGCCAGTGCTTTTTTTATTAGTACTGATCACTGTATTAGTGTCACAGGGGATGGCAGTGACAGTTAGTCAGTCCCCCCCCCAGTGTCAGAATGCCTGCCGCAGTCCCGCTATAAATCGCTGATTGCCGCCATTACTAGTTTAAAAAAAAAACAATTCCAGTATACTGTATTTACCACCATTTGTAGACACTATAACTTTCATGTAAACCAATTAATTTACACATATTGGGATTTTTTTTTTAGCAAAGATATGTAGCAGAATACATTTTGGCCTAAATTTATTACGAAATTAGATTTGTTAAATTTTTTCACTGGATACGTTTTAGAGCAAAAAGTCAAAAATATATATATATATTTTTTTAAATTGTCAGCCTTTTTTTTGTTTGTAGCGCAAAAAAATACAGAGGAGATCAAATAACACAGGAAAAAAAGCTCTATTTGTGGGAAAAAAGGCCAAAAAGTAATTTGGGTGCAGTGTTGCAAGACCGCACAATTGTAAGTTAAAGTAACACAACGCTGTATTGCAAAAAATGGCCTGGTCAGGAAGGGGGGTAAATCCTCTGGAGGGCAAGTGGCTAAGCATGCAATGTTTATTTGCCACTGTCGCTTCTATTTATGTACAAAGGTCATGCCACTGTATGTAATTTAATATTAAAATAAAAAGAATCTGAGCACCTTATTTAATCATTGGTGTTTAGCATTCACATGACTATTCCCATGTCTTTCCCATCCTTAAGGAAAGATCTGATGAAGGAGTTTCTAGTATTCTGCTAATGTATGCTCTATAGTAGCAGAGGACGTCTGGACTATGAATCTGAGTCTTCACAGCACTGATTGGTGTTGTGCTGGTCACATGACATAAAAACCAGCTTTCAGAAAAGAGAATCAAAATAAATAATTAATAGCAACAAAGTGTTTAAAGCTTATTATAAATATATACAGGGTGATTGAAAAGTAACTCCTTATTTTAAAAATCTTATAATTTATTTTTTAATCATTATTTTTACAAAAAATGAATATGAGAAGAACACACATAACATGGAGTTTTATTTAAAATTTGATATGCTTCTGAAGCCACTCGGGAATCGCATCAACTGATCTTCGCAGGAACTCTTGTGGGATGGCAGAAATAACTTCTCGTAGTCGCCCTTCAAGTTCTTCTAAAGTCTTTGGTTTCATAGAGTAAATTTGTTCCTTCAACCAACCCCAAAGAAAAAAGTCGCAGAGTGTTAAATCAGGGCTTCTGGCCTGCCACTCATGCAGGCCACGTCGACCCAACCATCTCCCAGGAAAATGTTCGTTCAGCCATTTACGAACAATAGTAGCAAAGTGTGGAGGAGCACCATCTTGCATATAAATCAAGTCTTCAATATTCTCCCAGGTATTGACAACTGGCCAGATTTCTTCTTGCAGCATAGCGAGATACCTTTCGGCATTCACGGTATCGCGAAAGATAAAAGGACCCACAATCTTATCTGAAGTCATTCCACACCATACCATTATCTTAGGTTGATTCTGAAATTTAAATAGTTTAAAATAGGGAGTTACTTTTCAATCACCCTGTATATCAAAGCAAAATATTTTTTTGCAATAACATGATGTAGGTGGAATTTAAGTTAACTGATAATAGCTTTCACTTTGTTCACACTGTAAAGATATCTGAAGAAGTTTCTGCCAATCACAGCCTGTATCAGACCCCCTCCAACCTGTGTCTATGATGTGTATTTGCTGGAATAAAAGGGAGGTGAAACATCAATCAACATCCTATGTTACACCCCCATAGTGTTTAGCAGTACAAGAACACGGAGGAGGGGGGAGGAGGGAGGAGACTGTCATTTACCACTGTGTATGTGCACACATGTGTGACTATGTAGTCATATGGACTGCATAAATATGACAAAGGAGGTAATGAACAGCTTAGAAGGGAATTAAAACTGGAGCATGCTCAGTAGATGTGGCAATGGCTGGTTTACATAATCTCAGGCTGCCAAGGGGAAACAGACAAGAAGGGAGGGGCAGCAAACAGCAGAATCAACCAGGTTTTTACAATCTACTAGCAAAGTGAGTATGAACACAATGTAACATAACATATATTGACAGTTTATAATGATTTGAGTTTAATGACACAATAAACTGAGCTGCAATCGGCTCAGTGCCCAGTGTCAGCATTCTTAATTGCCGGAATCAAGAACTTGTAAATATACTTGACTTACATTGGCTTCCTTACTGCTGAGGTGGGGACACAATGCAGGAGCATTGTCTTGTGAAATGTTGTGTACTCAGTGTTCCATGGGATCTCGTGGGAAGAATAATGACACCACTCTTGCCTAGGCACAATGGTCAGAAACCAGGGATAAGGTAAGTATACAAACTAACATTTTAAAGCATTCTTTCCTACAGGCTTGGTTTTGTCTATATTTCTATAGTGTTCTAGCATGGGTAAGGTTGAGGGAGGTGTGGAAAAAAAAAAATAAATGGCCCTTGCTTCTTTGGTGTGAGGTCTGCTTTAAGCAACCATAGACCTTTAAATTAAACTGTAATGAGTTTGGATAAGTTTTTATTAAAGATATGTTGTCTCTGCTTAAAGTTGATCTTCACCCACATGCACATCACATATCCCAGGAGGCATAGTTTTTCATTAGGAGGAGGGAGGAGTGGGTCTACTGGTGAGTCATTGGGGAGAGCAACCAGCTGAACCCAGTATACTGTAGATGGCAGCTTCCCAATGATGTCATACATGAAGCGTGGGGCAGAAGGGAAGAAGATCTAGGCAGGACAATGCTGGATCTGCTGGGCAGGTGGGAATGCTAACTGTGCAGGACCCACAATCAGGTAAGTAAGGCTTAAGAAAGAATAAAGTGAGGGAAGGATGGCCTCAGCCTACTGCAAAATGATGGCTGGGCAGAACTTTCATGGTTCCGGGTGGAAGCCATATGGCTTCCTCCCTGAACATGTCTTGAGCTTGGTGATGCGGCCATGCTGCAGGTGTGATCTGTCACAGACACAGCCGATGACAGATCACTGTACTGGCCCGCTGTCAGTACCATGTGATCGGTTTGACCAATCACAGAAGATCACATGACAATTGTAAACAATGAATGGCTTTGGATCTTACCATTCATTGTGTATAGTTGTGTTGCTAGTTGTGATTGGACACAGTGATCACATGGTACAGACAAGGCCAATAATAGCCCATCTGTACCATGTGATTAGCTGTGGCCAATCACAGCTAATCACAACTATACACACATTCAGTAAAAATGCTAGCTTATAGCAGTACAATTCACTAAGCAATCATAATGTGTAAAATAAATAAATAAATAAATCCTGATCACATGTTACTATGGTACCATCATATTGGTCTGGTCACAGTGTGTTTAATGTCATAATGTCACCTATCAATGTCCCTGATCACTGTCACACCAGTTATATGATGATGCTGTAGTGCATTGGTGACAGTATGTAAAAAAAAAAACAATTGTGAAACCCCTTTTTTTTTATTTCTTCATTTTCCAAAAAATGTTGACAAACTTGCCATGCCTCTTGCTAAATATGTTGGACTGTCTACTTTCCAAAAAAGGGTAATTTGGGGGATATTTAACCGCCTCCCGCCCGCCATATAGTACAATGACGGGTGCAAGGCGGTTCTCTTGTTCTGGGAGGACGTCCTATGACGTCCTCCCATTCTAACCATGCATGTGTGGCTCTGGGAGCGCGCAGTTCGGCGATCGGCGGTGCGCTGTGTCACCGATCAATAGAAAGAGCCAAAGATGTCGGCTCGGTCATGTGATCAGCTGTGTCCAATCACAGCTGATCACATGTAAACAGGGAAATGCCGGTTATCGGCATTTGTCTCCTCACGAGCTGTCACGCTGACAGCCCGTGAGGAGAAGAGAGCCGGTAATCGGCATTCCTCGGAGGGGACATGTACAGAGATCATCAGAGCACTGATGATCAGTGTGCCCTGATGGTCTGTGTAGCCCCAGCAGTGCCACCTGTCAGTATCCATCAGTGCCAGCTGTCAGTGCCACATCAGTGCCACATTTCAGTGCCCATCAGTGCCACATCAATGCCACATATCAGTGCCCATCTGAGCTGCCTTTCAGTGTCACCCACCAGTGCCAGTCAGTGCCACCTATCAATGCCAGTCAGTGCCACCCATCAGCGCTGCCAATCAGTGCCACCTATCAGTGCCAGTCAGTGCCCCCTATCAGTGCCAGTCAGTGCCACCTATCAGTGCGCATCAGTGCTGTCTATCAGTGCCACCTAACAGTGCCAGTCAGTGCCGCCTATCAGTGCCATATATGAGTGCTGCCTTTCAATGCCCATCAGTGATGCCTGTCAATGCCCATCAGTGCCTCCTCATCAGTGCCACCTATCAGTGTCCATCAGTGCAGCCTATCAGTGCCCATCACTGCAGCCTTATTCACGCACATCAGTGAAGGAGAAAAATCACTTATTTACAAAATGTTATAACAAAAACTAAGAAAAAATGTTTTTTTTTCAAAATTTTCAGTGGTTTTTGGTTTGTTTAAGGAAAAAAAAAACCCAGAGGTGATTAAATACCACCAAAAAATAAAGCTCTGTCACAAAAAAATGATGAAAATTTCATATGGGTACAGTGTTGCATGACCGCGCAATTGTCATTCAAAGCGTGACAGCGCTGAAAGCTGGAATTTGGCCTGGGCAGGAAGGGGGTATAAGTGCCCTGTAGGCTAGTGGTTAAACTGACCTGACATTTTTGGGTATCAAGAAATTCGGCCGTCAGTACATCAAGATTGACTGATTTTCAGATATAAAAACCAAAGTTTGTGGAATCTACAACTTTCCTACAGACTAGATAATAAACATGATATGGGTTATTTTCATCAAAGAAATGTAGCAGAATACACATTGGCCAAAATTTATGAAGAACAATTATTTATTTACAAAATTTTGTAACAGAAAAGAAGTAAAACGCTTTTTTTCTTTCAAATTTTTTGTCTATTTTCATTTATTTAGCGAAAATAAAAACTCAGTGGGGATTAAATACCACCAAAAGAAAGCTCTATTTGTGTGAAAAAAAAAATGAAAAAATGTAATATGGGTAAAATGTTGCATGACTGCGCAACTGTCATTCAAAGTGCGGCAGCACTGAAAACTGAAAAATGGCCTGGGCAGGAAGGGGGTAAAAGTACCTGGTATGGAAGTGGATAAAGTGGACGTGAACTCAAAAAAATGAAGATTTGCTGGGGTATAGGGAACATTTAGAAAAGTTAACTGTGCCTGAGCATTACCCTAAAAAATTTACCATTTTTCTCCAATTATTTATTTTTTTTTTTTTGTAGTGCCCTTCATGGTATATGAGTGTGCGCATTCAAACCTATAATCTCATAGCTGTGTATCTGCTGTATGAAAATATAAGGCACTGCTGCTTCTGACTGCTAGTCTCAGATTTGGAGTGATTAATGATCTCACTACTGTGCTGCTCACTGTTCTCCTTGCTGGAGGTTCTGAAATGAGGAAACAAAATCCTACCTCCACACAGAGACACAGTGCAGCACAAGGCCTGGTAACCCTGCAATGGGGAAAAGATAATCTGCAGGGAAACAACAGGCAATATCGATGACTAGTCCTTTGCCCTCTGCCTACAGTTCCTCTTTAACCACTTGCCTACTGGGCACTTACAGTATACCCCCTTCCTGGCCGGGCCAATTTTCAGCTTTCAGAGTTGTCGCATTTTGAATGACAATTGCGTGGTCGTGCAATATTGTACCCATATGAAGTGTTTAGCATTTTTTTCAAATAGAGCTTTCTTTTGGTGGTATTTAATCGCCACTGGGTGTTTTATTTTTTGTGCTATAAACAAAAAAAGCAAAAACATTTGAAGAAAAAAGTTTTTCTTTGTTTCTATTATAAAATTTAGCAAATTTAGCAAAATTTAGCAAACAGGTAATTTTTTTCTTTCACTGATATACGTTGATGAGGATGCACTGATAGACAGCACTGATGGGCACTGATAGGCAGTACTGATGAGGTGGCATGGATAGGCAGCACTGATGGGCACTGATAGGAGGCACTGATAGGCAACATTGATAGGCGGCAGTGATGAGCTAGAACTGATGATGCGGCACTGGTGGACTGCACTGCTGGGTGGCACTGCTGGGCAGCACTGATGGACACAGGTGGGTGGCACTGATGGACACAGGTGGGTGGCACTGATAGGGGGCACTACTGGGCACAGGTGGGTGGCACTGATGGGGGGCACTGCTGGGCACAGGTGGGTGGCACTGATGGGCACAGGGAGGTGGCACTGCTGGGCACAGGTGGGCGGTATTGATGGGTAGAGGTGGGTGGTACTGATGGGCACAGGTGGGTGGCACAGGTGGGCGGCACTGCTGGGCACTGATCATCAGTGCCCTGATGATCAATGCCAATCCCTTCGCTGACAATTGCATGTTCTTGTCAATACGTTCCTCATGCTTTGACAGTGTGAGGAAAGTGCAGATGATAACCGCCAACTGTATTTACCGGTGATCTGCTGTGTCATTGAACACAGCTGATCACGTGGTAAAAGGCCACCGTGATTGGCTGTTTACCATATCACGTGATCAGCTATGTCTGTAGGACACAGCGATCACCAGTGGCACTGGGTGTCCGCCATTGGGGGAGCACAGGGTGTATGTTCTGGAATTACGTCCATGGACGTCGTCCCAGAACTAGACAACTGCGCTGTAGCTGTCCTTTGGCTATAGCACGGTTGGGAACTAGTTAAAGGGCTTGTTCACACCATGGTGCAGAGACAGCTGTTTTTCCACATTCGTTCTGCAAGGGCACAACAAAATCAATTGTCCACGATGTGTCCTATTCACATCTCATCACTGGTATCACATGCAGATTTATTTTGCGCAGGAATCTGCGACATATATAATACACATTGAAGTGCGCATGAAAACTGATGTAAACTGATGTCTTTGTTAGTGAAATCTGCGTGTCAGTTTCCACTAGTTTTCAGGCACGTATGGTGTGAACAAGGCCTTCAGGGAATTATAAGGAGGTAGATGGCGAGAAGTGGATAACATTTTCTGCTTGAGCTGTAAAAAGGCTTGTTTTGCCAGAGAATAAGGAAAACTGAAAATCATACAAGAGCCCAACTCTCCACTCGCTGGCTGGTTGCAAGAGTGCTAATTATTCAGAATTTCAGATTTACCTGATTTAAAAAAGAAACAATTATATTAATAAATAATTAAATATTTTAGTCATAACCATAAGAAAACATGGACAAAACACTATACGTTTGTTTAATAAAGAGTAGTGTGAAGACACAAATAATTCTGGCTGTGACAGTTTCACACACAGCAGAACATTTTGACTATAAAGATTAAATCTGGTAATGTACATTCTGCAAGAAATTAGTACTTTAACCCCTTCACGCCGGGCCTAGACGCCAAGCGGCCGCACATTTGCGTTCATGTAACAAAAAACATATGTGCTGAGAGCGCGCACCCTGCGCGCTTCCAGCACACATGTGAGGTACTCACGGTAAGATCCCGGTCTGCTCTTGCAATCGGGACCTTTCCCGATCATGTGACGTCACGGTGGCCACATGACACTAAGCCACGCCCTGTCCCGCCCACCTTCCAGCGCAGTAACTCCTCTTCACGCCGGTACAATCTGGCGTGAAGGGGTTAAAGTGGTACTAAACCCACAACAGTAAAATCAGTCTGTATATGCAGTAAAGCATGCTTGTTATACTCACTGTGGAACCTAAGGGGCTAATCCTCTGCACTGTGTAAAAAGGCTGTTTAATCCTGTTTTCTCTGCCCCTCCTCTTGTTGAAATGACCACCTGATACAGATTGAATCTGTAGTCACATGCACATGCTCAGTTTGGTGTGTATTGCTAGAGAGGTTTGTTTTTTTTTTTTCTTGGGAGAGTGCATGTGATCAGCACAGGGCCATTCAGCACTGTTCAGACAGAGGGTCAAGGGTTTCACATCCTCCTAGAGCAGAAAGAAAACTCCTCCTGCAAGCTTTAACCAGTGCTATGCTGAAGTCACAAGACTGCTCTGATGATGAGGAAAGGTATTTAGCAGTTTATATTGGCAGCACAGTGGCTAAATGGTTAGCACTTCCGCCTGGCAGTACTAGGGTCGTTGGTTTGAATCCCAACCACGGCACCACCTGCCTGGAGTTTGCATGTTTTCCCTGTGCCTGCGTGGGTTTCCTCTGGGTACTCTGGTTTCCTCCCACACTCCAAAGACATGCTGGCTCCTGTCTAAATTGGCCCTAGTATGTGTATGTATGAATGTGAGTTAGGGACCTTAGATTGTACACCCCTTGAGGGTCAGGGACTGATGTGAATGTACAATATATATGTAAAGTGCTGCGTAAATTGATGGCGCTATATAAGTACCTTAAATAAATAAATATTTACTAAAATGATTGCATTTCCTTGTTGTGTGTACTGTGGGAGACCACATATAGGGAATACAGGGTCCTGGGTTTAGTATCACTTTAAGTAATTAAAACACTTATTGTTACTTTCACATGGGGGTCTGATCAGATCTGCCTGTCAGTTTTTTCAGGCCAAACTGATGGGATGGTCCATTCACCTTTATGGACAGATGGAGGTAAACAGACTTGTATCCATTTACACCCACCTACCTCCAACCCAACCCAGTCTGCAAAAAAAAAAAAGGAAGGGGATCTGTCCTTTTCCATTTAAGTGGATTGGATTGAAGAGTAGGTGAGTGTAAGCGGACAGCGGAGTCCATTTATACCCTGCTGCCCATAAAGCAGAGTGGGCTCTATATGTGTCTGCTCAGGTTCTGCAGTTATCTTCTGTCTTGATCAGCAGGGGATATGTGAGCGGATCCCCTACTAATCAGGATGGAGTCTGCTTCATTTGAAATGGGCCTAAAAGTAAAAAGCAGAAATAATATAACCATAAACATAGAAAAGGGAAAAAAGACCAAGGGAAGAAAAAAAATATCTAGAGAGTATTACCTCAAAACAAATATGTGTTATGTTGAAGCTTTCCAATTCTTTGATGTGGTGGCTACATTAGTTTTTTTTGTTTATTTTCACCTTTTGTTCCAGTCAGTAAATCTATTATTTTTCAACTTCCTCTAACAGACCAAGATGTCCAGCAAAGTGGCAATTAGAGGGTTAATGTAAACTATTTATCACTGACACGTGTGCTTACAAT